TTGACCCCCCCCCCCCCGCCCCGATCATTCCCGATCACCAGCCAGGCCAAGGGATCCCACCTGTGCACGGATTCGTGCACCGGGCCTCTAGTTAATTATAAAAGCGCAACAATATATACTTTTGACATAAACTATGAATGCAGGAGTCAGTAGATTGACATCTTTTAAGAGATGAAAGGAAACAAAATTTGCCAAGCTAAAATTCTACATTGAGTAAAAACATCCTTAAAAACAAAAAAAAACCCAAAAAACTAAATAAGGCCATTTTCATACACACAAAAGCTTAAAGAATTCTTTTCCAGCATATTTTTCACAACCTGAAATACTAAAAGAAGTTAAGACTAAAAGAAAATGATACCAAATAAAAGGATAAAACTTCAGGAAAAAATGAAGGGCACGCAAAGTAATAAATATGCCAGTAAGTATAAAAGAGTGATGATGCTTAACATTCAAGAAATTAATAACAATACCTTAGAAGTTAACATGTATAGTGGTAAAAATGTATGATGACATATAAAAAAAGGTGAAAGAGGAAATGAAGTTAAACTGATGTAAGATTATTGCATTGTTTGGGAAATGGTAAAATTAGTAACTGTAAGGTAGACTATAGGAAGTCAATGATGACTATTACATAGAATGTTACATAAAAAATATATATATAACTAAAGAGTAAATGGAGGGGGAAATGGAATGAAAAACACTTGGCTAAATCAAAATAAATCAGGAAAAGAAGACTAAAGGAACAAAGAATTTGTGGGAGAAATAGAAAACAAATAGTAAAAGACAAAATTAAACTCAAATATATCAGTAATTGTATTAAATGTAACTGGACTAAGCATTACATTTAAAAGGTAGAGACTATCAGACTGGATAAAAAATAAGACCATGGAACCAATTATACACTATTTGTAAGAGACATGCTTTAAATAGAAGGTCAGAGGTTGAAAGTAAAAGGATAAAAAATATCTCACAAACACTAACATAAGCTTGAGCAGCTCTATCATATCATGCAAAGTAAGAGTTCTACTTCTGGTAATGACAGAAGAAACCTATTAAAAATAATAATCTTAAGGCAATAGATAATACCAAAAGCAGGCAGAAACCAGAGGGGTGTCACATGGAAAAAGGGAACATCTGAGTGAGTTTCCCATTTCTATGGCTTTTCTATTAAAGACAGACCACAGTTCATGAAGAAAAACTGACAGAATTAAGGGAAGAAATATTACTATCTCATTTCTAATATCCAAAAGAAAAAATTTAATATATCCCTTATAAGTATGTATGATATTTGCTATAAGCTTTTTGTAGATATTCTTTATAATATTAAAAATGTTTCCTTCTATTCCTACTTTGAAATATTATCATAAGTAAATTTTGTCAGCTTTTATAATTATCTATTAAAATTATATAATTTTCTACTTATTCTGATATGTGGAAAATTAACATTATTTTTTAATATTAAAACATGCATTCCTTGACCAAACCCCAATTTGGTCATGTTATAGGTTCCCCTTTTTTTTAATTGCTTGATTCACTTAACCAACCTTTTTTTGTTCTTTTAGGAATATTTGCATCTAAACTCTAAAGTCATTTTTCCTGTAATTTTTCATTTTGTATTTTTCTTGCTAGGTTTTAGTATTATGATTATTTTGGTCTTGCCCGGCTGGCATGGCTCAGTGGTTGAGCATCACCCTATGAACTAGGAGGTCACAGTTCAATTCCCAGTCAGGGTACATGCCTGGGTTGTGGGCTTGATCCCCAGTGTGGGGCATGCAGGAGGCAGCCAATTAATGATTCTCTCTCATCATTGATGTTTCTATCTCTCTGTTCCTCTCCCTTCCTCTCTGAAATCAATAAAAATATTTTTTAAAGATTATATTGGCCTCATAAAATGAGTTGGAGAATATAACCTTTTTTACTTTTTTTGGAATACTCTGTATAAACATTGAGTGTTTCTTCTTCAGCCAATTAATTCTCTCTCATCATTGATGTTTCTATCTCTCTGTTCCTCTCCCTTCCTCTCTGAAATCAATAAAAATATTTTTTAAAGATTATATTGGCCTCATAAAATGAGTTGGAGAATATAACCTTTTTTACTTTTTTTGGAATACTCTGTATAAACATTGAGTGTTTCTTCTTTAAATGTTTGGTAGAATTAACACCAAACAGCCTTTCCTTAGTGGAAGGCTTTTAATTATGTATTCAATTTCTCTAATATTATGGGATTATTCCATTTTTTCTTGAATATGTTTCTAAAAGACATATTTTCTAGGAATTTGTTCACTTCTCCTAAATTTTCAAGTTTATTGACACAGCTGATAAAAATGTCTAATGATGTTCTGTTGGAATGGAACACTTATTTTTCAAATGATAAGGCTTTTTCCTTTCTAGCTTCAGAAGCTTATTCTGCCTTCTTAATAAAAACCACAATTACAAAACTGGCAATGACTTCAAAAAGTCCACTAGGTTTAGTAACCTGTATTCCAAAATTATCAGAAAAATGGGTGTCTGGAATTAACACTCTCTAAGACTAAGAATGAATTTTGAGGGAATTTCTTCCTATGAGGGAATCGTTACTTCTTTCTTTGGTAGTGTGATCTATTTAAACTTCATTCATTAAGCAAGGTTGCAGATACAAGGATAAAAGATTCCTTGCTGTCAAGAAAGCTCCTGTCTGGAGGAGGAGGCATTCTGGTAAAGAAACAAATGATCTCTTGAGATAAATTCTACTCTGCATGATACACACGGGCACACGATGCTACAGGAGAGAGAGGTAGCTTTCCTTTCCTTACAGGATCCAGTTTCATGTGTTGGCAGGAATGGTGGAGTTGGAGGCAGCAATAACATCCTGAATTGATTTGTGTCACACTAAGGAGCCTGGATAAGAGTGAACAATGGGATAGCATCGACCCCTTTTAAATTACATGATTTGCATTTTAGAAAGTTAGAAATGAGAAAAACTTTTGATATTTATAAGGTTAACAACTTCAACACTTTAGAATTATCTAAAGGAAATATTGTAATCCTACTTATTAGCAGAATGAAAACCTTTCTATGGGAGTTTAAAAACTAAAAGTTAAAGGCTTGAGATGAGAAACTGCAGGCATAAATGAATAAATAACAGAAATTAAGGAGAACAGGAAGCACAACCAAACCTTGTAGGTTTCCATACCTATAACAAGATTCTCCATAAGGGCATTCAGGCCGGTCATCAGCTAGATCTTGGCACATGACTTGTACGCCTCCATAATCATTATCACCAGGGTGACTGAAATGTTGGAAATGGACAGGATTCTTCCTATAAGGGTTACAAATATACAGTGAGAAAAAATAACTAAATAGAATATGTGAAATTTCTAGATATACTAAAAAATAATTAATAGGATATGGCAGGAAGCGAAGCAACACACATCTGATTATTCCAGAATGTGAATATGCTACATTGTTAAAAACAAAACTCATCATGTATTCAAACACAGAACTCTCCATGGTAACAAAATTAATTTCTAGTGAACTATGGTAAGCCATGTATGTTAATGGACAATATTACTTTACAGATCAAAGTATAAGTGTTTAAGGACTTTTAATGAGCACACTTAGGCACTCTTTGCTAAGGTAAAAGACAGACCATTACCAATATGCTAGAAGTCTCCACAGGTCTCCTTCCAATCATTAAACCTATTTTCCTACCCAAAAGTAGACACTATCCTATCATAGAAAATAGTGTATCTCAAATTTTTTGGTTGCAGGAAAAATTTACTAAAACTCCAGAGAGCTTTTGCTTATGTGGTTATTTAACCTGTTAGAAATAAGAAAATAAGAAATGTAAAAGGTATATTTAAAAATAATTAACCTTTTATATATTACTAGAGGCTAGATACACAAAATTCATGCAAGAGTAGGCCTTCCTTCCCCCGGCTGCTGTCACCGGGTTCCCTCTGGCACCTAGGACCTGGGCTTCCCTCACAGCTCTGGCTTCGTCTGGAAGGTCGTCCAGTCTAATTATCATATTATGCTTTTACTATTATAGATAATAAATAACATGTCTTAATGTAAATAACTATATCTTCCCCCCAAAATTCATGGAGACACTGTTTCAAACTTTGAAAATGTATTTAATGTCTGGCTCAATCTTAATAGAGGGCATCTAGATTCTCAGATCTGCTTCTGCATTCAATCACTAACAGTAATGCAGATCATGTAGCCTCTGGAAAACTGCTGTATACCTGTGAGTGAGAGAATTAGAGTGAAAAAGGCAAACCCACAAAATCTTGGTATCATTATGAAAATGGTTTTATCCTTACAGATTTCCTAAAAGCTTCCTGGGAACCAGAACTTCTCAGGAGTATCTTAACCATACTTTGGGAAGTGATGTTATAAAACAACACATTAGTTTTCTCTGTTCTTGAATTTAAATTGAAGTATATAGTATATACTTCTTTGAGAATGACTTTTTATGTTTACATGATTATATTATTGCATGTAGCAGTAGTATATTTTCATTACTGTGTAACATTCCATTGTATGAAGTTGCTACAATTTATTTGTCCATTCTACTATTCATAGACCCTTGGGTTCATTCAAGTTATTGGCTTTTATAAATAATACTGCCATGAACATTATATTTTTGGTGTACATGTTTATGCGTTTTCTACATATGCAGAAAACTAAAGATTCTACAAAAACCATTTAGAAATAATACATTAATTCAGCAAAGCTGCAGGATAAAAAATAAAAATAAGTTCTGTTTCCATCTATACTAATAAAAGGGAAATATGCTAATTAGACTGGACATCTTCCGGACGTCCTTCCGGACAAAGCCACAATGGCAGGGGACGAGGCAGAGGTGGTTGAAATTAGAAAATATAGTGCAATGTAATCAAATGAGGTAAGTATAGAAGTAACCAATTAATCCAGGAAATATACATTCAGTTGTTTCAGAAGACATCATGGTGATTCAAAAGCACCATTAAAAAATATAGAGGAAAATGCGTAAGTATAATAAGATGCCTAAACACAACCTAAAATTATCTTAATAGTAATAATGTATACAACTATTTATGAAGCTATCTTTCTAATATCTCAATAAGACACTAAATATCTGGGTCTGAGTGATTCAATTTTCAAGTCTGGAATCCCCAGTTCAAATCCTTGCATTAACCAGCATGTCTACATATGAAATATCTAATTATTAAAACTTTCTAGCAGGATTTGCAAGAATACACACTGAGACAGTACAAACCAAGTAGATACATAAAAAAGCTCCTAATCTTTAGGCCCATGTGTTTTATTAGGCTTTTAATACAGATAACATATATCTACATAGCTACATGCCATTGAAATAATGGCATTATATGCTACCTATACTTTCATTTTACCTGTAGCAGTTTGCCCCATACATGCAGGATGTTCTCTTGACCTTGTTTTCTTCAGGACCTTGTAGAACTGGATCAGCTGCTTTTGCATGCAGAGTTGCAGGGTTGGAGGGATCAGAGCTAGGCCCAGGACAAGATCCTTGAGACTCCCCATGGGAAGACTTGCCTTGGGCACTCGAACAACTCTCAGAACAGCTCACTGTCTCTTTTTTATTTCGTGTTCCTTTAGTGATGATTTCATCTTCAGAAACCTTACCAAGTTCCTCTGTTGGGATTTCATTTCTCAGTGCATTAGTCTTCTTATTACTCACATCTGTGTTACTTAATGTGACTGCAGAAACTGTTTGTGGCATTTCCTATAAAACAAATCAGAAAAAAAATGTAAAAAGGGATATGTAAACTAAGCATAAAAGTATGGCACTACAAGATTCATGCAATATGTATATTTTTAAATTTTTAATATTTACTTCATTCAGAATTATTAAAAATACCATTTTCTATGTCTCTAGTTAATAACTTTAAAATACATAGTTATTAGAAAAGAATTCATAGTTGGATCAAACCATTCCAATCATGTCAAACATTCCATAAAAGATAACCAGAAAAATAGAAATGAAACATAAGCAAAAACAACATTTGCTTTCATTTGAATATAATCTTTCTCAAAAAGCCTACTAATCTCTTAAATTTTCTGTTCAAAATGTGTTTCACTTTTAACATGCACAGTCCTTATAATTTCTTTTAAATTACTGCAATACTTCATTTCTCCCATCTAAATATCATGATATTTTCCCTATAACTGAATGATAAAATTGCTCCTCCCTCACAGATAAATTTACATGAAGCTATCTTATGGCCAACTCAGAAAATAAATATGATTCCTCTGACATGATCTGAATAAAAGTTTCAGTTTAACCAATTAGAGGGGCTGTGAACCAGGTAAGTATTCTCATTAAAACTATAGGACCTTTTTCATTTGTACTTACTGCCAGCACAAAGAATAAACTGGGTCCTATGCTATTAAAGATGACCACTTACTGACTAATACTTCCTTTGGAGAGAAAACACTGCTCAGATACACCCCAGTCCTCCTGGGAACCATTTCTAGGAAGTGATGACAACATACTAGATACATATAAATGTTCACCCCCATGTATGACTGAGGACTCATGTATACTGGCTGCATCTGGAAAAAGCTGATTTTGATATTACTTAATGCCTAACAGTTCCAATTTCTTGAGAAGATATTATTAACATGGCTTCTTTTGGACTAATTACTTATATTTAAATACTTTTCTTTTTTTAAAAAAACACAGTATGTAATTTTAAAATATTATCCAAACTGACTTAACTATTTATAAATGGAACCTAAGTCTTATAATGTTTCTTGTAATAAATAACTATTGGAAAAGCAATCATTGGCTACCTCTTGGAGCTAACCTTCCACTGGTGACATTTATACCATTCTTCTAAAACAGGGGTCCTCAAACTATGGCCCGCGGGCCACATGCAAATACAAATATTGTATTTGTTCCCGTTTTGTTTTTTTACTTCAAAATAAGATATGTGCAGTGTGCATAGGAATTTGTTCAGTTTTTTTTTAAACTATAGTCCGGCCCTCCAACGGTCTGAGGGACAGTGAACTGGCCCTGTTTAAAAAGTTTGAGGACCCCTGTTCTAAAACATAAACTCTTTTCTCCTAAGCTGCTCAACCACACCCCATTCTCATCTCCCTCTGCTGCAGGACCAACCAACACATGCCAGAGACGGGAACTCTGGGGTGGGACTGGGACAACCCTGGCCCACCTCCCCACTGGGCAGTCTCCCACCAGGTTAACTCTCACAGGTTGTTTTTCTGCCTGTGCAGGTACTAAAGGGGTACGTGGGCCAGCAAATCCACTGGCTGAGCCAATGTCCACGTAAATGCCATTCTCTTGTTTCTGTTGGTATCTCTAAACTCCACAAGTAATTCTCTCAGAGCCCCCTCTTCTCTTGATTTTAGAAAGGCAGAAAAAGCTTCTCTCCACAAGCATAGCACTCCCCAAACCTTAAAAAACCTTCTTGTCTCTCAGTTCTCTTTGTATACAGCCGGAAGGTGGGTCAGTGCACGCCTTTCAACAATCCCCACGGGGAAACGTCTGGCTTTCACTGTTGGAGGCTCCTTTCAAACATGAAATACTCAGTACTGTTGTCCCATCTTTGGGCCTCAGCAACAGTTATAGGACAATGGGGGGAGGGGGAGTCCCACTGAACATCCTTTACACTTAAGTAGGAAAAAAAAGGGCACAGCTCGGGAAGAAGTTAACTAAATTAGAAGGCATTCTTACTATGAAACACCATGCAGAGGTTCAAATATATATATTTTTTAATTTAT